TGATCCTGGAGGTCATTTCCAACCATACTGATTCTATGATTTGATTCTATCATCTGGACACAAATAAAACTAGTGCCAGCTGGAACAGGGATCTTAGTTTCAGCTTCCACTCTAACCAAAAACAGATATACCAAAGAGGTTAGAAATAGCAGATCTTCATTTTCACCGATATCAAAAACTGTTTGGTCCCAAACCTCATAATGTTTGGCAGCTCTGTCCCACAAGATGATGTGCAGCCGGTTCAAGGCTTCAGGCAACAGTTGTTTCCCGCTATAATGACCTGAAAAGGTACTGCAAATCAGCACTTTACAAGAACTTTGAGAAGCACACTGAGAAGCACCTAAAAACTGAGAAGGACAGTCCACCATAGCTTACAACAAAAACCACTAACACAGCAATAGTTTCAGCCAGTTTCATATCCTGCTTCTGAAAAAAAACCGAAACAAACCAAACAAAAACCATACCATCCCTTCCTCCAGAAAACAACAGTGGGTAAGAGAATAAACATCTTCATGCTTGAACAACATAAACATGGCTCTTGCATCTAGCTCAATGCAATATGGTCTCATTTCCAGCAGATCTGACAATTAAAAAATGCTACAGTGCTACAGGTGCAACAGACCTGAAAAAGAAACTTCTTTTTCAGCTGCTTAAATAAAGATATGCAACCTGTTTTAATACAAACAAACCCACATTGGACTGGCTGGGTAAAGTATTAACATGACACAGAAGTTCTGATAAATCGTTCTAATCCCACATGTATAAATCACCCAGTCTGCACTAAGAAGGAAGAACTGTTCTAGCAAGGTGATTCTAGTCCTGAAGCTTTAGCACGACTGTTACTCATTATGGAAGCTGAGAGCTGCCATGCAAAAGAAACATAAGGGAAAGAAGACACAAACAGAAAAAAAAGATGAGAATAAGCAAAAAAGTGAAAATCAGAATTCAAGACTTCAGCCACCTAAATTCAGCTTTTAATAAAGAGCAGCAAAAGATGGGTACAGACCTATAATAATTTCTTCAACCTTTTGCTTAGCAAGCAGCTCCCTCTTATTCTGCAACAGGAACTCAATGTGGAGCAGGGTAATTTTCCCAAGGTCAGGTGAAGATGTAAATCGTTCAGTAACAGATTTCAGAACATAAAATCCAATTGATTCCCTGTTTAGAAAGATGCATTTTTAAGAGGCTACACAAGAAGAGCTGTTAATTTTCCATTCTAAATAACAAGATATTCACACCATGCAGCACATTTCTCATTAATACTACTGCCATGCAATCACACTGACAGAGCCAAGGTATGAATTTACTGCAGTTCATCTATTCAGCAGTGATTTCCTATTAGCACATGATGTTCTACAGTACTCAAAGACAGTTTACTCCTCACAATGAAAGAGTAAGAATTTAATGCAAGATAGAAGCATATACATAGGGAATAATGACTTCAGTCAGATCGTTCCACTTTTTTTTTTTTTCCCCAAGATATGTATTAAAACTACACAGGGGGAATCTTAAATCATTCCACAGTAAGGCTACAGCAAACGCGCCGCTCAGCTTTATTTCACACCCAGTTCTGCTGTTGCCATGATCTGTATCACCTTGCTACAGAAAAGATGGTCTCCCTCTCAAAATTGTTTACATTCCTCTGTGAGTTTTTATTTAAAATAAATCATCACAGTATAATACATGTTCTTTGCTTAAAAAAGAACACCTAAAAAGCCCAAATATTGTGTTCACCAAACTTAGTTATGATTTCATACTTTCCATGCTCCAGCAGCAGTTTGGCAGTATTCAAACAAAAGTCTAAAGACATCTCATGGTGCAGGAATTCTGCAACAGCTAGACAGAACACAAAACAGTTGATATTATTTAATCAATTTAGACACTTAACTGCTTGATTTACCATTTGCATCTTACAGTTTCTTTGGGAAAAAAAAAATTCCCCCAAATGCCAATGTTCTAAAACAAAAGGAAGAATAAAACATGTCTATTGCGCTTTGATTTTCCTTTTGCTATACAATTGATATGGTACTACAGAAAGGTGACAGACTGATAGTCTTGGAATTCTAGGCCTCTGTCTCTAGATCAGGAACAGCACAGGCATTAGTGGCAAAGTCTCATCCTTACCCAGCAGGAACTACTTAAGACTGAGATCAGTGTGTGGTGGTATCACACTGCAATGGGAACTTCTCAAGCCTAATGCCTTTAGCATCAGCTGTTAAACTGACTGGTGCTGATAAGTATCTGGTTTAGAGCACTCAGGTAAAGTTTAAAAATTGCTAGACTGTGCTGGATGATTAATAACAAGATTTATACATTTGTAGCTTCTATGAGATCAGAGAAGGAACACATAGGTACATGACTGTAACAGCTGTTAAAGGAAGCATTTCTAAGGCAGCTGTGTACAAATGCACAATACAAGAGTTAATTCAAAAGCCTAAAACTTAGCAGGAATCCTCACTCAAAAGACATAGAATTTGCAGTGCATGGACACAACACTCTTTTCTGCCAGCCATCAAAAGACAGGCATCCATTTGTTAATAAACTTCCCTGAAAAACTGACTGGAGTCTTAGTGCTACTAAATGTAAGCAGAATGTGTTTGACAGGCAATACTACAGCTTCACAATTCAAACTGCAAAACATAAACAAACTATTGCAATGGTAAGTTTTGAATAACTGTCCACTTGAAAAGTAGCTGAAATTCCCCAGAAGCAATTCCTGCTAGTCTGGCAGCATTCAAACCATTCAGCTCCCTCCTGAGAAATTTCTCATCTCATCCTACATTTATTTCTCAGAGCATTCATTACGTATCTAATGCTTTCCAACCACGAAGAGTACAAACAAAATCTTTTTTCCTTAAGACTTCATTATTTATGGAAACAAATTTCTCCTGATACATTATCCTTTCTACATTAACATCCCTTCAAAAACCTTCTTTACCTTTCATGCCAACAGAAAAATCGGTTCTCTTCAAATTACAAGTTTGAGGAATAAGGATAAATGAGGTTATATATCTTGGATAAACTAAATAAGCTCTGGTAACACAGGTTTGTAACAACACACTGATCAGCACTTGATATGTCTTGGCCAAACTGCAAAATCACACACAGAGAACAGCAATGTTTCACAAACCTTTCCTTCTATAGTGACTGTGTACAAGACAATCCACTTTCACCCTTTTTGAGTAACCTTAGGCATATGTCTAAATTAAAACCACACCTTTACACTGCTATATTTTCACTGTCTTCATTCTAACAGGCTTCAGTCTTCCCCTTTCCCTATTTCTAGCAACTCTATTTAAATTCTCAACAAAAATTAAATCCTGCTTAATTCAAACTTATGTTAGCACCTGGATAACTCCTCTGTGAACACTAACTACTAAGTCACACTCAAAAACAAGAACATTAGGTAATGAAGATTACTCTAGAACACAAAAGAAAGGGGTTTTGTTTTTTTTTTTCTTTTCTATCTACAACTCAGGCCATCTTCTTGGATATGGAGTAGTATGACCACTATGAAACTAATACAGAGCTGTGGTACCTGAGTTGATATCTTCATCTGACGCTCCACTTTTAAGAAGAATTTTAACTTTCAGAAAAAAACCTGCTGGATGCAAATTCTCCTGCACAATGGAAATAATACATTACTTGGACAGCCGTTTGTAGAATACAGATCCTGTGAGAGTCCAGGATAAAAAAATACCAAGAAATCACATGCACGCCACTGTATTCTTCATTTCCACTTTAGTAATTGAAGCAATAGATAGGTAACTGGCAATGGTTTCTTAAACACAATATGCATCTTTATTATTTATTCTTATACTGTCAAAACATCATGAGGACAATGAAAGCAAGAGAGACACGACTCTCATTTTGCTGTGACCCATTTCCAATACTTTTAAACAGAAGCTGAACAATACTGAACAATAGAAACATTTCCTGGTTTTCTTATGTGTGAATTGGCTGGATTACCCTAGAATTAATATGAGCAGAATTCAAATAAGCTCATAATAAAACAAAATCTGGAGCTACAATGGGAGCAAATGGAAACATGAAGAACATATACTACAGCTCTCACTGAAACAGTGCACATTTCAGACTCTTGAATAAAAATTTTCCATGCTCTTCTACAATATTAAAACAGAACTTATCAAAAATTATGATAAAAACACTTTCCATTTCAGGAGGTTTTACAAAAGTAAATATAATAAAAACTGCAAAGAACTTAGATATTGGAGTAGCATGTTATTTGAATGATTAAAATGCACTGCCTTTTATCCTGATCACATGAACACATGCATTGTCATCTGTCTGAAAGTTTTAACAGCATGTAGAAAACTGAATTTGAGTTTTCATTTAAAACAGGATTTTATAATTATACATTTTTTTTATATGAAACAGGTAATGGAAATTTTAAAATGGTCAACCAAATATTAATTTTTCAAACGTAAGTTAGTCTAACCTGAAAAAATAGAGGCACTAAATTAAAGTCTGTATATGGAAAACAGAATTTATACAAGAGAAGAGATTTCACTGTAATGACTGCTTAGAGATATATGAACTTTCTACAGGGTAGCTGGTATGTCTATACAGCTCAATTTTCAGGATTTCCAAAGAAATACAGTTATGTTAGTAAAGTGCAATGGCTAAATCGGTTGCTTGAAATACAACTCATGTAGCATGGCTACACAGCTTTCAAAATTGAATTCTGGTGCTTGCTCAAATATTTGTACAGATAATAAGATGGGGTCTCAAAAGGTAGTATGGACATATCCATTGTAACCCAAAGTAAGACAAAAGGCCTGATGCATAAAAAGCCAGCTGGTATAAACCTCAGGTGGACCACATTGTAGTTTATTGTTTTTGTAGAGTTTTTATGAATACGTGCAAGTGAAATCTTAGTAATATTATTCACAAAGGATCTCTCTACTAGCAGACATGAGGCATCAAGACAGCTCTACATCCACATGCAAAGAAGTATTTATTCATAAAAAAAGCTAGAAACACCAAAACATCCATCTGATGTCAAGGATAACACCAGTGGATAATGTGGCCCACATTAACAAATGCTTGAGTTTCCCTGATCTCACACCATAAATACAGTAACACGTTACTACCTGATTTGCCAAGCTTATGGCTTTCAGTGCCTTGTCAAGATAGAGATTGCAATCCCACTCAAAATAGGCTGTAGCTAGCAATCGCAGCACTTTAGCCTGGAAAGAAAAACACACTGGAAGTTTAAATGCTATCTGAAGAGCAGAATTAAAATAATTAAACGGAATGAAAGGAGGAACTGAAGGAAAAGCAGATACAAACTTCACTGAGAGAAAAAAAAAACCAAACAAAAACCACAAGACATACATGACAATGGCCTTCAAATATGGCCTTCAAACAGTTTCTATAAAGAGAATAAAATCTTCTCCACATCCACTCTGAGTAGGAAGAGGCCTAACAGGCTTATGAATGACACAGATGAACATCTATCAGAGATAACAGATGTAACTGATGATGGCTTGAAAGAAGGCAGCAAAGGGAAGAAGAGATGGCCTTTCAAGACCTTACTTTCTACAATTTAATTTCTGTGAAACAGTAGATGTAAGTGTGATTTAAGGGTAGCCATCAGTGATTGAACTATCAGGCTGACACTCATAGCAATGGAACTTGCAACTCTGCCAAACTTCATAGCAGACAGTACTAAAGAGGAGGCCAAAGAGTCACTGGACAGGTTTGGCATAGCAGAGGCAGATGATACAGTGGAGTCAGGTTAACAAAATCCTCCTATTTGTCAACAGCAATTTCTTTATTTCTTACCTGCATTTCTTTGCCAATAGAATATTTCATGTCCATCTTCCCAATATCATAACTCTGGCTATCAATGATAAATGAGTGAGTTACAATTAAATGGGATGACCGATAAATTCAGCTAGTTTTCTGATATGTGCAACATTCCTTTCCTTCTCTACCTCTTAACCAGTTAGAAATCACATAGGTCACACAAACTCATCCCAGTAGTCACTCTTGCTAGAGAACAGAAAATTGTGTTGTCTTTCTAAATCCTCACATAAAAAAATTGTATTCATTCACTCTCTTCAACTTGCTGCACCACTTTCTGTAACACATTTCAGTAGGCTTTATCAGTTTCAACCCAGGGGTTTCGAAGAAGCAAGTGTTCTTGTTGTCATATATGTACCTGATATATAATATAGTCATACAGAAAAGTTATACATGACCTGATCTCAAGACCACAACAAATCAATACCAGAAACAGAGTCTGGGAGTCATGACTCCCCATTCTTTCTCTGAAAGTTAAATGACAGCACAAGGGACCACTCAGAAGAAAACGCAGTGGTAGCTCCACAAAATCAGATTTTACTACAAATGCTGTAAATGAAGAACTGTTGAAAAGAAAAAACAGTAACTGGGCATTTGTTCCCTAATCTAATATATTCTCAGTACAGGGAAATTTTAACCCACTAGATGGAGCTACATCTCTTTCTCCACATACTTACTAGCCCTGCACAGGTTTATTCCCTGCTCAAATTTTGTCATCAGGACTCGGTATTTAATTTTCCACCAGAATAAAATGTAAAATAATCTCCAAACCACCAGATGTACCTCATTTTATGCATTTTTACAAATCCTCTCTGACAACATATGTGACCATAACTGTTTCGAATTTGCTATGTTGCCATTCATTTTCTTCTGACTAAAGAGAAAAAGAACAAGAAGGAATAAAACAAATCTTCTGAGCTGAGGCTGTGACTCTGGCATGAGGATACTCTTCCTGAAAGCCTACATTGTTTCTCCCTTAGTAGAACTACATTACTTATTTAAATCCTACCCAAACCATTTCACCTTAATGTTCCTGTCTTTCATCAGTCATGGACTTGCTCCCAGTTAAGTACCTCCTTTGTAAGAAATCCAAATACCTCTTAAAAAAACATTCATTTAACAGTGGTCAGAAGAATTCATCTACTCTTTTCCAAAGTTTTCAAATCCCTTTGCTGTAATTTATGAATGGCACAAGAACTGGGAACAGCCTCTTCACAAAAATAATCTCTTTGGAAGAAGTGTTAGGGAGAGAATTGACGAGAACCATGGCAAGAAGACTTTCTAATGACATGAAAATTGATGGGGAAAGCCAACATAAATGTTACACAACAGAGAATACAGACACTAAGTATCTGCTCAGCTAATTTGGTTCAGCTCAAATCTTGTATTCTCACATTTTTTAATTAAACCTCTACTTTTCCTTGCTCCCCCAACTCTTTCATACATATTTTTACATCTTAAAAGCAGGGTTTTATTTTGTTTGCCTTCGCACATTACCTGAGCCAGAACGTGCTCTGTTCATATCTCTTCCATTCATAGGTTTCCACACCAAAATTGTAGCAGAGGATTGACAGGTAATAGGTCTGCAATAAAAGATTCCTGTTTCTATAAAATTCTTGTAGAAATGTCCTTGGATCTATGGCACTCCAGTCTCAGGTCCTTTAAAATGCATTTTACTTTAAAGATATATCCACTGTTATCACTTCTGATGTTATACATGGGGATACTGAACATGACTCAGATGGCATCATAATTGTGTGGGGAAGTGAAACATCATTAACCAGTCCAGGACACAGGAAACAGAAGGATTCTTGGAACATGAGAGGTAGAACAGTTTCTCAAGAAATCATGCTGAAAGCACTAGAGCTTTGTAAAGTCAACAACAAAAATTAAAACTTGAGAGGAAACACTGGAATGTTGCAATTTCATTTTTAAAAATGCCAAAAAAAATTATTACATTATAAGCTTCTTCCCAGAATGTCTCTTTGGGATTAAAAAAGGATCATCCACATTACAAGTTTTAAAAGAAAACTGGTCTTGAATACTTTGTTATTCAGAGCACTGTTTTATGCTTTATCAGTCAGCTCTGACAATGTCTGTTGATAAACAACTTGTCTTTCCTTTGAAATTATTCACAGCTGTCATATGTCATCCAAAGAACAGACAGAAAACTCATTTTATATACTAATAGGCTGCCAATACTTTTGCCTCTGCAGTAACTTTCTTTTCCAATTATAAAAGATTTTGCCTACAAATGACTAAAACTTTCAAATCCTCAGGCAGGAATGAGAGGAAGCACAACATCTTGTTTCAAATTGTTTATATCATTGCAGTCCAGAGATAAAAGCACAGATCCAGTGTGCATGAACAAAAAACCCCATCACTTACAGATATGAAACCCTTGTTTTTCTTACATTTGTTTGTCAATGTTTTCTTTCCAGGACAGAAAGTTTACAGTATTGAGAGCGTTTCATGCAAAGTGTCTAGCCTAACATTCTAGGCACACTGTGGCATACCTCAGCCATTTATTTGCATGCTTGGAAAAGAAGTATTTCAAAGGATAATTGAAATATTATTTCAGTGAATTACTGTGTTCCAGGCATCAGGCATAATGCCAAATATCCCCATAAACCTGGCTCTGCTCTGAACAACAAGTGTTTGGAACAATCTGGAATTTCACCCTGTAGGGCAAGAGTTCCCACTTCTGGTTCACAGTTCACTGATGATCCACAAGCTGCAAAGCCTCTCCAGCTATCTGTGGTACCATACATTACACCAATGCAACAATCTCATTGTGACACTCTGGCTCGTGCTCTCTAGTACAATGGGAACCTGGGAGACTTAAGAATTGAGAACAACCTAGTCATTCAAAAGTTTAGAAGTTACTCAGCCATCACAGCTCTTTCCTTTTTTCTCAGTGTTTAAATGTCACTCTTTAAGCCACAAATAAATTGTATTTCTCATGACCTTTTCCATTGCAGTGGCGCTCTTGATGTTCATGAATGTTCTCATTCATTATGAGAAGTTTAATATTATTTAATGGAGTAGTTTAAGCAGAAAGCATGAAATTCATTTAAAATTAAATGAGGAATAGTAATGCAAAGATCCAGTGAGCACTTTCAACGATTCACAGTAAAAAGCTATACTTTTATGATTCAAATGAAAGCTAGACCCCTGCAAATGACTTAGCCACGCAGATGCACTGAACAAGGCCTGCAGATCACAAAACTCAATTTAAAATTGGTTGGAGTTTAATTGGTTTAAAACCACATTAAGTTCCAACCATATTTCCCGTATTTCCCTTTCAGAATTCACATCTACCCCTTTGAATTTTATTACCTCTACTACAGAGGCAGGAACAAAATCTTTCCTAAATATTGGGAAAACATTTAAGTATGAAAATGAAAATAAATGTGGGAAAGTTTATTCTGATGTAAATATATTAGACTTTTATCTTTGTAAACAACTGGTCTACATAGGAACTAGTCTGCATATGCTACATTTTGTTTTCTCTGGACGTTCTGTGACACAAGAACTACAAAAAAAAAAACACAATTTAGTGCAATGGGTGGCCTCCATTCATAGCTCTACAGCTTCATGAAGATGAAGGTAAGTACTGAGGCTAGTGATAGACTTGCATATCAAAACCTTAGTGACTCAGCTCTTCCCTTGTCCCATCTGTCTCCATACAAAAGTTCACATGGGTGCAAGTGAAGAAGCAGTACGCACGATCAATGTGTAAAATGCAGCTGGTTCTCTAGAAGAGCAGGTGGCATATTCAGCTTAGAAATCTTTTTGCCTTGCTTGCTGATTTGTCTACTCTCATTCTTTAGAAAGAGTTTATCCTACTATAAGAAATTATAAACTATAAGAAGCATGAAAAAAATGAACTTTGAAGAAAAAAGCTGCTGGTTTAATGCAAATTTTTTAGTAATAAAATCTCAAAGAAGCAACCAGCCACAGAAGACATACACAGTTCAGAGTACTTTTCAAAATGGCACATGTCATTCATACAGAGAGGAAAACGGATTTTCAAAGTCTGAGATTATAAAGAAGGGATGATTTCACTTACCTCTTTGGGCAATTTCATCAACATATCCTTGCAGCGCTGCACACACATCATCGCTCGCTGAAAATCCCCTTGAGCCACTGCCTAGGAGAGCAGCAGAGCACAGCAACAGCTGCTGAGCAGAGAAACACTGCACTCCCTAAGCAGTGTGACAAGGCCACATGCATGGGACAACTTCATTCAGATGTTAAGATGATAACAACAGTTCAGCAAATCTTTAACCACCTATCCAATAATTAAAGGCCCCCTTTGTCTCCATGATCAAACTAAAACTTTGGCCACTGCTCTGGCCTTTTTAGGGAAGCTCTTGAGAATTGTGGATATAGTATTCCCCTTCTAAGTACTGAGGTCAATTGTGTTATCAACAAATGCAGGCAACTACATTTTCTCATATTTACACTCATATGTCTGTAATACTCTATAGCATTGATAAAGTATTAAGAAACATCAGTCAGGCACAGCAATGCCTCACAAAACCTGAATTTCTAAATTATATACTTTGAATCATTGTAATTTGTGGTGTTGATCCTCTAGACAACCTTTAGCACTTTTTTTGACTTTCTCTCATATTGCCCTAGGCTGTTTTTTTGTTTTTTTTTTTTTTTAATTATCATCATAGAATCATAGAATCATTTAGGTTGGAAGGGACCTCCAAGATCATCAAGTCCAACCACCGAGCCACCAGGGCTCCAAAGTCCTCTGCCAAAACAGATCATGATTATTACCTCATTGTATGATGCCAGAAGTTGAGACTTTAAAGAAAATATCGAGTGTCATAGAACTCACTGTTTCCAGATCTTGTAATTTTTTACTGATTCTTCCACTGTTTAAAGCCTTTATATGTGGAAAGCAGCATGCATGAAGTCATGGAAGAGAGGATATCCACATATAGAAAGATCTCTGTCTGATGGCATATAATATTAACAGCTTTGATTATGTTTATGAGTTTGCAGTGATGAAAATTGTAAGTTACAGAATATTTTGCGCAGGTGGCTTATAAAATCTGCTTGTTGGATACAAACCTGGGCTATCTGCAGCCATGATGAATACTACCTTTGTATACTTTCAGTCAGGCTAGCTGCAAAGACTAGCACAGTATGGCGAGCATTCCAAAGTGGTCTTGCTGTGTACATGTTATATGAATGCAGTTTGGCAGACCCAGGCTCCTTTCCCCCTTCTTCAGTGAAGCACAGGACACCTTTGGAACTGACACACTTATGACTCAGAAAGGCAGCTGTCTGTTTTATAAAGAGCCATGCTAGCCAAATCAAAGAGCAACAAATCTGAACTAGAAGATATAAACAGCATTGCAGAAATGACTGCAATAATTAGGCAAATTAAAAATCATTAAATGATTGCAACACTGAATGTAAACACAAGATATGCTATCTTGCATCTAAGAGAAGGAAATATATCCTTCAGCAACTCCAAGCATTCATACATCTCATAACTGGGTCAGAGTTCCCCTCTATACCCCTCGTGACTTATAAGGAAAATTGGGAAGAGCACATACTGATTCAGCCTGATAAGAGAGTACTTTGAAGAGATTCCTCTCGACATCAGCTTTGTGCACATGAATATCTGCTTCACCATCACTCCCCTTAAGTAACTTTGCATACAGTTTTTCTATATTCTGGAAAACAAAGCATAGGCATCACCCGTGGGATTTACAATTAGGTGTGTTTACAAGAAATGTAAACTGGAAAAGAACCTACGCTCATGGCAGTCTCCAGAAATCCATCAGCAAGATCAGCTTTTCCAACATCTATCCATCCTTTCCCAGTTTTCATAGACATCTGAAGGAGAAAATGGTCAGTGCAATGTTAGATCTCATCTCGTTGATGCACGTATCTAACACAGAAGAAGAGCATTTCAGCTTTTCAGTTTCTGCCAAGCACTTCTCACGTCTGAATAAGTCCTTAAGACTGAGATGCACTATAAGATTTATGGTGCCCTACTAGACAACATTACAAGACAAGCTGCTCATATAACATTTTACCATCTGACAAAGATATGATGCTAACCACACTGCCTAGAAATTCCTAACTGCACTTACTCAGCAAGGTACCCCTAAGATAACAGAGGTCCACTTCAGCACATATACGCCCTAGAACTACAGGTGTCTTTCGCCCCCTTTCCAGAGCTACTGTGCCAGTGTTTGCAGGTTTCCCTTGGTGACCAACGGCACTTCACTGCTTACCAAAATCTGTCTTCGGATAGTTCCCTCTGGAGGGTCGCTGCCTTCACAAAGGCACAGCAGTCTGCAGGCAACAAACCGTACTGCAAGAAAGCAGCACAGACATTCATAAACTCCTTTTTCCCCTTTTTTTTTTAAAAAAAAAAAGTCAGGCCCTGCCATATCTGAAAGACTTTGCCATTTTATATTACAAGACAGAAAAATTTGAAAGCTTCAGTAGTCAAAGCAGTTTTAGCTTTTTTTAGCCAAGCTTCTTAAAACTGCTTCTTAGGCAGTAAGAAGAAGAATAAAAAATATATTCTCATGAAAATACCTATTAAACCATTTAGAGATAATTTAAGTTAAACACATGGTATTCAAAGGCTTAATTACATTGCAGGTGTGTACAGAAACATGTTGAGAACCTCAAAACAGCCTTCAGCAAAACAGAGAAATGAACTTTAATAATCTTTACATTTTCAAAGTAAAAAGCAAAAATATATTCAGTCCTTCCGTACACATTAGGTATGGAAAAGACACCAATTAATGTATTTTACGTAACCTCTCCCTGGCCCTTCAGCTGTGATAGAAGATCTGAGAACATTACACTCTACAATTACTACTTATTTTGTGTAAGCTTACCCTTTTCCCTTTACCTGATATAATTTATATGATTCAGATTACACATAATTCTGACTATAAACCCTCAAGACAAAAATATAGGCCAGATATTTCAGTCCTGCAGAACCACATAAAAACAGGTTGAGGGAAAGGACCAAAAGCTCACTTCTGCTTTGCCCCAGCCCCACTCTTGGCTCCAAGCAAACCCACCAGCTGTATACCCAGCAAAAGCAAGGAAGTAAAAAGAGGATTTAGTTTTTCTGTATGTAAACATTGAACAGATAGTTATGTTAAAGAAACAATCTCACTTTATATAAATTGAGACCCACGGTCTAAAATTGACATCTATGTTTTTTCCATACATTTTTTGATAATAGCATTAGAAGGCAAATAACTGCTTCCTTCAGTTAAGCACCTCTTCTGCTCTGGCATGGAAAGAGGGAGTGATAAGAATGCCTACACTGTTTCTGTGCCACAAGATCACTATTACACCAGGATGCTCCTTCCTTAACTGTTTATACAAGCCCCACTGGGTATTTTCTCTGTCTGCAAAACAAACAAATCTATAGCACTATGCACAGGCCTGTCAGAAGTTCTTCCTTTTTGTGCTACAAGACATAGAACACATGTAGGAAGGTACAGGACTCATACATACATTTAGCTCTTTGCTCATCATTGACAAGAGAGCTCATGTGTTTGGTCACAGCCCAGTTCCACAGGCTTACCGCATTCTCTTCAACCTGAGTAGGAGAAATCCATTAGATTTAATTTAGTCCTGGATTTGTGTCATGTTGAAATTTACCACTGGAAAAGGAAACATCTTTCATGTGTATCACAGTAATGACCTGTCCACATGTTTGTGAAAATTCCTTTTACAATGAAGTCAAAGGTGTGTTTTCCACAAAACCATTACATGATCCCACAGGGAGATCTGGGATAGTGACCTGAAAACAGATCCACTGAATAGACTACATAGCATTTGTTCTGCTAAAAGTATGGATCATTCTTTTCTATAGATCCATCATTTCAGAAGAATTATAAGCACCTGGCAGGAAGCACATACTCTTTTCATAAGTATATTTTATAAGATATGTTCAGTCTTATAAAACACTATTTCAGGTCTTCTAAAAACATGAGAGCACTTCCAACATGAAGCAAGGTTAAGAAAGAACATGACTCTGTAAATTCAAGGCTGAGAAGACCCAAAACTAAAAAGAACTAAATAAGCACATGAGCAATAGTACATGTATGTCACATCACCTATCAGTGCCTTCAGCTCTGATTTGAAATTATGCATAATAGCAAATTCTGTAAGTGAAGTGGTGGACTTCAGAAACATCCAAATATCTTCCTAAACAAAACCCATTAATCTGTCATATTCCTGAAATGTCCTAACCTATGTTTCTATGAAGTCCTTTTCCAAACTTGGCAAAACATGACCTCACCTGCACTATCCATCTGGGATGAAGTTTTCTCACAAACATTTATAGACACAAAATTTGTGCAGTAGCACATTACCATGTCAAAATACAACAGACTCACTGGCAGCTTTCATAACAGATGATAAAAAATTTGAAGGGATTGGAAAAAAGCTGCAAGAATGGATCAAGTTTTAAAACTTAGATAAGGCAAAAGAGATGAAGCCTTGCTAATCAAAAAGAAGTCTAAGTAGTCTAATATCTACAACAGGAAACTTCTGATATTAGAAAAAAAAAAAAAGCTACTGACTATATAAACTTGTTAAAAAGATGATGCAGTCCTACATAAAGGTAATAAGCTTCTTTAATAATACACCTTTAAGAGTTGTACTTTCCATCACTTCAAATCCTAGTTTCCATGGCAGATCTTGCCAACACATACACTCTTGCCTAACTAGGAGACATTTTATGGCCCTTTTTATTGAAGGTATCGGATGACAAATTGTTTGTCCTTTATTTAAAAATAATTTAGTCCAACAGACTCAGGAAGAACTGAAAGGTACCAGTTTTATGCTCTTGTATTGCTTCACAGACTGCACTAAGCATACTCTCTGTTGTGACATTTGCTAACCTATCTTGTTCCTTGTCACAAGTTGAGGACTTTCAAAATTGTGAAATTAATTATAATCTCAGATTATCTAATTATTATCTGAATATAATTGATGAATATCTGAATAAAACTACACGCTTGCTTGTCGTCTTCTCCAAATATCCGTTACCATTATCAGAATCCACTTACAGGATGAGGAGAACCTCTCCCTGGACCCAATACCAAAATCTTAATGCACTGTGTTTGCATTTTCACTTGAAATTACAATTCGATCCTGCTAGAAATTTGGAATAATAAAAACCTTAACATCACTAACATATCCATAACTTTCGATTGTGATGCATATTTTTACATTTAGGATCAACGTTTTGCATTGACTTTTCAAACGTAACATTTCACACTTTATTTTGAAAGGCTTTCACGCTGTTGAGGTAAAGGTGAGGATGCACGGCTTTGTTGACACCCCAGCAGCGCTGGAACTCGGTTCACTGCGGCAGTCGGGAAGCAGGAGCCCGCGCGGGCAGAGCCGCCGGG